ATTTAAACGCCTTTCAATACTTTGCTAACAGTGTTAAATATTATAAATTCAGTGAAATTAAATTTGTAACAAATTAATAAAAATATTTTCTTTATATTCAACATATAAAATAAATTTTTGATTAAATTGAACTTGAATAAATGTTTTCCAAATTTTTCAGTTGATTTTATTGGTAGTTATTAAACTTTTTGACTGAAATAATCTCAAAATTAATAGATAAACTGAAAATATTCGTTTCCACAGTCGATTTTTAATATTTTTCAAGTACATTTTGTCCAAATATCTTCTAAAATCAATTTTTCTTCATAGTTTCCAATAGAAAAAATTAAAATATGTTAAAAATATTTTATTCATTCAAAATCTAAGAATATCCAAGGAAAAATTTGAATTTGTGCTTTTTTGACCATTTTCAGTTTGAGCTTCTTCAATTTCTTCTTCCCATCCAAACACCATCTTGGCTGGGATTGATTGCGAGATCTGCGAATTGTGGCACAAGTGCCAAAAAAGAGTTGAACATCCAGAAGAATTTTTGGGAGAAGAACGGTGTGGCAGAACAGTGAACCGGATCTGGGAATTTCAGACACACATTCAGTGTTATTATTCTTTAAAAGGTAATTTATTGCTTGGCGTGTGCTTTTAGCCAAGGCATCGTCACGACTCAAAGCGGTAGGAGTTCACCAAATTGGCGGATGTGAGAAAGTGCAGCGGTAATTAAAATGGGAGATGACGCAAAAGAATTCCTCTTGCATAATTTAGCATGCACAGATAAAAGTCGCGCGATTCTGCCCTCGCGGAAAGAATTGAGAGAAATTGCACCATTAATAATTCTCCTTCTTGTTGTTGTGTGATTTTTGGGTGGGTGGGCGGAGGTGTTTAAGATAAATATGTGAATCTCCTTATTCTCCACAATCGCCGTGCACTGCCAATGTGACACAGTGCTGCTGGGGGGAAAAAAGGTGGTGAACGTGAATAAAGTGTTAATTGCGCGTGATTCATGACACTGCACGAGGCATAGTTTGGAGGTTTGCCACCTCAAGTGACAAATACACCATGAGTAATATGAAATGCGAAATTAATTTCGCATTGAAATTTTCCACCGCGTGTGCAAATTTCTGAACTGAGAAATGATTTTTTTTTTCGAAGAAAACCACCGACCTTGAACGCACTTCAATAAATCCTACTCACCGTGTTGAACTCAAATATTACAGTAGACACTCGAGGAATTCATAACCTTTTCAATATCAATTAGAGAAAAGATATTTTTTTTCAGTTAAATTTTCCAGCGGTTATTTAATCATGAGATGTTTGATTAATATGTATTTGTTCAAGATGAATTTGATTGATCACTCTTTTGTGCTCGTGTTATTATTGTTTTTCTCTCTTGCTCAACATTGACCCACGAGTAATTTCCCCAAATTATTCCAGCAATGCAGGATTGTTAGAATTGCACCTTGAATTTAATTTAATTGAAACAATCTCTCAATTCCAAAGTTCCAATATTTCTCTTTTTTACGAGGAGATTTTCTGCAATTTCATTGATAAAAAAGTTATTTTCGAATTACGTTAAAAACACATTGCAATAAATTCTGAAATTTTATTAAGCAATTAATGTTCTCCGGGACATCCATTGAATAAAATGAAATGAGAAGTGTTTCTCACAGAAATATCCGAAGCCGGATATGCCCACATAGAGACATTCTAAGAATAATTACTCTCGTAGAGCTACATTTTAGGTATGTGCAAATAAAATGCCAAATTAATGTTTTTTATGGTCCAGGTATTCTGACAATGGCTGTATGAAGTACTTCTTCTTCTTTTCAGGCTCAACTTTCTGACTGAGATTAATTCAGTGAATGAGCCGAAACTATTTGGCGCAAAAAATTGTTTACACGTGGTTGAGAATGATGGGAATTTCTGCTTGGATGCTTGAAATTGTCTGACTATCAACTGTCAGAGTGCATGTGATCCGCATGTGTTTATTTAATTTTATTCCAAGGGGAAAGTCACTCGCAATTTTAGGTCTCATTAAGTTTGTTCATAAGTTCCTTAATTAAATAAGAGAAGAAGTCAGAAAATTTGGCAAAAGCTCGACTTGAAATACAATCAGAACTTCTACATGCCTTCCAAATTGGATCAGCTGATGAAGTCATGATGAATCTGGGCTTTTTCTACATGTAAAGCTTCATTCTTGTGCTTAAATGTCGGTCTCTCCTGGCCAGGATCTCACCAGGATGTCTTAAAGTATGAAAATATGTGAGAAAGGAAAGAAAATTATGCAATAAATGCGATATTATTAGCGTCCCTCACGCTAACTTTGCTGCCCTCTAGTGGCGATATGTGAAGAAAGTTATTGAATATTCAAAATATATTAAATTCATTTTGATTTATTTTTATAAATCAAACTTTGGTTATTTTTATACAAATTAAGAATCCATATTTAAAAATTTGATCGAGATCTTTAAGATTCCCCCAAAATCTGGATGATTTGCCCCTTGTTTTATTCTTTAAGTCCATTACAATTGTTCGAGGTGCTTGCGATTAGTCATAGGTACAATTTAGGCAACATGATGTTTGTTTTTTCTCTCTCGAAGCGCACCCAGAAAGTTCGGCAAGGAGGCATTTGAGATGAAGACTTTGGTGAACTTGTGAATTATTTAATACGCCCACGTGTCTCATTTGCATAAATGCACAAATTTGATCATGACAGCAAAACACACCAAATTCAAAATACTTTCATTCGTTTGTTTTTCATTCTGAGCTCATTTTCGTCATCAACACCCATTATTAGGTATGTTTCAAAATTATATACATTTTGCTCACGTCGCTCAAGACATTCCATATTTTCCGTCGCCACTCATCTCTCTCGCTTGGGATTTTTAATATAATTTTGAGAAAATTAAGTAATCGAAGGTATTCACATGTGATTGCATCAAAGCGACACCTCTCGCGGTAACTTCTTGAATGTGAGAAAGCCTATAAATTGTTTTTGTCGTTGCCACCGAACAGACGAAGGCCACAATTTTTCGGTGACCGCGCGCTGGAAAGAAATTGAGAAAATGACACATAAAGTCTGACACATTAGACGAGTAGTTGAAGAAGGATGGAGAAAAAAAATTGCTGTGTTTTTCCCATTCATTTTGGGAAATTTTTTTCCCTCCCAAAACTCTATCAAGATTCCAAATCGTGTGTGTGGGGAAGTGCAAAATATGTTGCTGAGTGTTTCAAAATTGTTTCTATTTTTATTCATGGTAATTTTTCACGCGATTCCATCCCAAAAATGTGCGTCTCGAGGTGCGTCTAGATTGGAATCTTAATATGTATTTTTGCACCTAGGATTTCATCTCCATTCAAAATTAATGACTGTCTTCTTTTTGGAATGATTTATAAATCATGGGGTTAATGGTTGGCGAAATGCCTTTCCTTATTTAAGAGGTAATTTTCTCTGCTTTTATGTCACTAACATTCTATAGAAGAAGCTTTCTTACGCCACTGGCAATAAATGACGATCAAATTTTTCACGTCATTCATGCAAATTACACACAGTTTCTTGAGACAATTCCCTTCTCATCTGCTTCCGAGATGTCATCCTTGAGTCACGAAGAAATGACTTCAACTCTCCCATTCGCACGTGAGAACCAGGAACCGCAGAAGTCTCCTGACTCTGCACATACAGTGGCGAAAATTAGCTTAGGACACCTAAGAAATTTTAGGTTTTTGCTGCCCTCTTGCGCACATTTTTCTTGATTTTGCAATATCTTAGCCCCGAATTGAGATATCGTCATGATTTCAACGCCATTTGAAAGATCATAAAATTCAGATCGTTTTTCGTCTTAAGATAAATGTCTCGAAAATTGACAGAAATCTCGAATTTACAGCATCAAAATATCTCAGGTGTTTTAAGCTAATTTTCGCCACTGTACAATGCACACACATTTGTGGGAAAATATCTAGCTTGGTAATCATCTAAATGGCATCTAATTGCGATACATTACAAGAGTGCGAAAAATATTTAAGACTCATTTAGTGGCTGCGATAGGCCGAAGGTCGAGCAGTACATCGCACAAATAAGAATGGATAATGCATAATTACACACCGAAGTTCACATGTCTAGCATAAGACTGGCTGAAATGCGATAGCAGCGATATGCGGGAGGGAAAAAAGCCTGCGATTTAATGTGGAGTCTGCGGGTGTCGCGTGCCGGGCAGCAATAGGTGCTCAGATGGAAAATATATCTATTCTCACGTGTTATTTCTTTAAATGCAGGCGATTTTGCTCAAAAATTCTCTCTCTCTCTCTCCGCACATGAATTATTCATGTGCGTTCAAGCCTGCTTTTGGGGGAGGCGCTGAGTGTTTGTACCTTTTGTGTGCCACTCAAAGAGCTTTTCCCGCCATTCCTTGGTCAGTAACGTGTTTACAGGAGAGATCGCAAGATCACTCACGGCGTTTTTTTTTCTCCTGAAATGCGCCAAAAACCCCAGAGACCTGCTGATTGAGTTGTTCCCGCAAAGAAAGCGAGACGCGTGAAATATTGGTCTCCAATCTCGAAGGTGTCCATTTACCCCATAAATCTTCCTTCTTTTTTTTTTGCAAAACTTAGCGCACTTATTGCTGGTCAAAAATTGCGTGTGCTCGTCTCATTTGACACAGTGACTAAAAACGCTTTTCTTCTCTCCATTCTCCTTCATTGGAATATTCATCCGCAATGTGTATTCCAGTAGAAACACAGACTAACAAATCGCCGTCAACGTCACTGATCGCGACTTTGTGAATAAATTCGCTTATTTTAAACCCACAAAATGTGTGTATGTCGTCGGTGAGGAAAAAAATACACCACACAAACACTGGTGGAGACGCACTGAGAATGGGGGAGACTCACTGAGACCCAAAATCTCTGGTTTAGAGCTTCAGACAGATCCTCACCACCAATCTCTCTCGGCCACTATATAAACGTGATCACTTTGTGATCTTCTCACATTGTTTGGTGATCGCTCGTCGTATTCGCATCTCTCATCAATTTTTCCCTCCTGTAACAACATCTCTTTCCGTATAGTTTTCTCGAGTGGTGTTTTAGTGACTCTTTTGGCAGTGTGTCTTGTGAAGTGTCTCACCTAACTGGGATATTATACCTCTCGGATTACACTTGTGAACTTCAAACGGATTTGTAAAAGTAAGAATCACACCTTGGCAGACTCTCAAATCTTTCTCTTCAATTTGATTTTGTGCTGTGAATTGAGAGATTCTCAGTGGATTTATTGCTACAGTTTTTTTTCTGAAATCTGTGTTTGCTTCCACTAGTAAATTGACTTGAGATAGAGAGAAGAAGATGAATTTCACCACCAAGAAAAAAAAGCGACAAAGCTGAAGTGGCGCGAAATTTGTATTAGCAACAATGAACGCAAATGAGATTTTGAGTGTTTAACGCGAATAATACTTTTGCAATTGGCTGAAGAGAGGCATAAAAGGAGAGCCTCGAATGGAGCACTAATATTTATTTTACGTTAAATACTTCAAGTGTGTAATTTGCATCTGAAATGGCCACAATAATTGACACGCAGCGTGAGATGCAAGAATGATTGAGAGAAGTGATTTCGGTGTCAAAATAGACGCGCGCGCGCGAGCAAAAGATCTGGCACAAATATCGTCGCCATGATCATCAAATAGTAAATATTATTAATAAATATAAAATCACTTTGTCGTCTCCGTGAGTCTCGACACCTCAATTATTGTGAATTATTCTATCCAAAGCCAATTTGACTGGCGATGATGTGAAGAAATGCAAATTATTGTGTGTCTGGTTTTTTTCCCCTCCGCCTTCGAATGCAAGAAATTATAAAATAATTTTCACTTTCATTCATGGGGTCAAGTTATAGAAAAATTACTCATACACCGTGCGCATTGAGTAATAACGCCAGATCGAGTATTTTGGCGGTTGTCTTGCTTTTTTTTTCTCCTGAGCGTCTTATCTTGCATTTCTCATCGGAAGGGAGGAATAAACAAAAATTGTGATTCAGGCAAGAGAGTCGCTTGTTACCTCAATGACTCGATGCATTTAACATTTTAGTGCTTTTGGATGTTAATAAAAATTAAATTTAATGAATTACACGAGATATTACACTGTTACGCATTTTGTGAGCGACCAGAAGCACTTCTTTCCCAGATTAATGCTTGAATGTCCTTTGAAAGCTTTCTTCTCTCTCATTGTATCACAGCATTATTTTGTGGATTGATGAAGAGATAAAATCTATCGATATTTATGTTGAGAGACCAATTGAAATTGCCCTTTTTGATGCAATCCAAACACTACAACACATTAAAATTCCAGCCCATAAATTCGTGTAATCTGTGATGAAAGGATGAGGAGATAAACTATAACAACTCATTTGCATCTACAATAAAGTTTCACGCAACACTGGAGTGACTCTTTTTGCATAATTTCTAATCTGCTGGCGCAGGTGATCTTCTCCCATTAGTTGGATTGTCGAAAAAGATCACTCGCTGGTAGAAGAAGAAGAAAAAGAGGTAGAAAAAGTCGATTGACTAATGTGATTTTGATTTCCCTCCACAGATGCATCCGTCTTCTGCGGCCTTGGCTGGCCTGCTAATATTAAGCTGTGTGGTGATTAGAGCTGATGATGTAATTACGCGGATAAATGGTCTCCATGACGCTGGTGAGCTGAGGCAGGATCTGCCCAGTGATACACCCTTCTGGTGGATGAACAACCGGTCGCCCTTCAAGCGCGAGAGTGGCGGATGTGCCAATGGATGCGCTCCCACCACCAATGAGCTCACCTTCTCCGCCAATCCCTTCCTCACGGGCCGCGTCGGGGCGCCGGCGGGCTTCGCCGTGCAGACTGTGAATCCCTCCTTCCCGGGCAGCCCCACGGGCAGCCACAACGGCTACCTGCCGCCCAATCCCCAGCCACCGAGGACTGTACCCTGCCTGGGACAGGGACAGGTGTGTGTGGTCCGTCACGCCTGCGCCAGCGGATTCGTTCTCTCCCAGGATGTCGCCGTGCTCGGTCGAGGCCAGGTGAGCGATTCTGTCCTGATGGCGATGATGATGATGATTTGGTGAATTTTTGTGGCATCAGGTCACAATTTCCATAATTTTTAGTCACCACACAACCAGTGGACATTTATCTTTGAGATTTTGAATGTCAATGAGTATATAGATGAAGAGGCATTTGAATTGAAAATTGTGTTTGGCAGATCATCGCCAAGATTTTTTTTCCCTCCCAACTCTTCACATGTCTTTTTTTGGGCTGTGATGTCATGGTCATATCTTCGAAAAATTGTTGATCACTTTCATTATCACACACACAGCATATTTTTAATGCGATGTGTACATAAATGAAGAAAATATTTGAAGATGGATAATAAGGAAATGTAAGCAATTTTTAAATTACATTTTCATGTGATCGCGATATTTCATCAGTGCGCAATCTCGTGTGTGGAAGAGATGATCTTTCGCGTGTGTGCTCACTGATGAGCCACACGAATATGAATTTTAATGATGATATTTTGTGGAATTTTTGTCAATTTTCAAACTAGTTGGACTATAAATTCTGTCACATTAACTGACCATGCCGCGGCAATCAGAAGACACACGCGCGCGCACAAAGAAACAATTAAGATTTTGCGTAAAATTTAAATAATCTCCCACTGAACCATTTTCTTTGCCACTTTGAATGAGCGATAATTTAAATTCAAAAATCCCCTGAGCGCTTTGCTGACCAAAGCGAAAGCGCGCGATAGTCAAAGAACAATTGCGAGGAAGTCTGCCGACGCTTCTTCCTTCGGTGCCTCTTCCATTGAACTCCTTCGCAAAAATTCATGAAAATTTCTTTTGTGGAAAAGTAACAATAACAATATAAGTACCGATTGTTTCATCGATTGCAAATTCCAACGCGTTACCTAATTGAATAAGAAATCTCTCATGTGTTGGCCATAAATATCTTACATATGGTTTTGTAATATTATAATTAGGATCTAGACCTTGGCTGAGTCTGTGTGTGCATACTGAAAAATTCATTGTTGTTTTGTATGTTGAACAAAGAGGAGGAAAAATCTCGCAGCTTTTCACACCATCGCGAGATATAGAATTCTTTTAGCAGATCGATGCACTTGTGCGTGAGCATTTAGAAGAGAGAGAGAAAGTCTCTAAAATTCACATGGCATCTTTTGCACCTTGTTAGGCCACTCTAGGCCCCATAATCTTGACCAGTTCCACTGCAAGCGAATTGCATTGTGAAATGAAAATAAACAGATTGAAATAAGTTCATTGAGCTCCATGGAGAAAAACACAAAATACGATGAATTGACGAAAGGAGCCTGAAAGAGAGGGAGAAAAGATATTAACAGCCAAGATGTAAAAAAAAGTATGATGATAAATTGAATGACTTGGATGCGATCGAAAACTCGCCAACGCGTCATAACACTGACTATTTTATGCAACTCTTGCACTTTTTGCCCGTGGATTATGTAATTTGAATCTCCTCGATATGGCGCGCGAGAGTCTCTTTTTTTTCACCATTTAATTATTTGGCTGTGAGGAAATTTCAATTAAGTTTCTTCCCCTGAGATGGTGTTCTTTTATTGCATCGCGCTGTTGTTGTTGTTTTTTTTTCCTCAACAACCCGCAATGCACGTCCGATCGGCGTATACAGTAAAATTCCACTGATAAAAACCTCATTTAATATTGACATTCAACCAGAGCATGATCTTATGTAAGGTCCCACGGGTGAAATTTGATTGAAACACTATCTTGTCTTGGGCGTTGCTCAGGGGTTCGTTTCTTGCTCTGCCATTGAAATCTTGTGTGCGCGCTCGCAATTTTTGTATGTTTTCACGATCGGCTTTCGCAACTAAATCATTTTCTTCTCTTTTTTCTCTCTCTCTCTCTCTCCATCTATCAATGCAGGAGTGCAACGTTGATACTGAAGTTTGCTGCGCCGTTCGTGTGCCAACCACGACTCCGCGTCCCACAACAACACAACTTCCGCCAACTCCGTGTGTGGAGAGGAATTACTTCTGTGTGGCTCCTCAGGCTTGTCGCAATGGTGTCATCGTCTCCCAGATGAACAATCTTCAGCCGGTGAGTCGCTCTTGTGCCCTGATTTTTCCCACTCACCATCAATTGCGCAATGTTTTCCACGGACAGTTTTTCCCAAGGGGCAGATATTATGGTCTTAAGTGGTGTACAGCTTTAAAAGAAGTGTTAGGAATTGGATAAGTCTCTGTTTCAGTAAATAGAGGCATTTTCTAAGCTAATTTTGCCTAGAAAAATCAATTTTTATTGCTTTTCTAGATGATTTGATTTTTTTAAACAGATTCTGGTTATTAAACAACCTTCAAAATCAACCAATTCTTCAAATTGATTAAATTTAGTAGTAAAAAAGAGCTTAAAAGTCAATCATAACCTCAAAAATATCATTTCAGTGTAGAAGAATGTCTCTGTTTGCGGTTTTAAGTGGCAAACTCAGCATCAATTTAGTATAAACATTGAGATATTCACAATATCCACTCATTTCCAGGTTTGGAAGGATTAAAATCAGTCAAAAAATGATCTTTCAAGCCTGATTCATAACCTCACAATTTAAAAATGCCTTCAAAGGCGTTCAGAAGTGTCTCTGAAGTGTTATATTATCTCCCCCTTGTTTTTCTTTCCCTTGGAGTGATTCATGACTGTGATGGGTGTTTTGTGTATCACATTGGCATTTTGACGCCATGTGTGTATTTGCCACCTTTTTTTCCACCTCATCTATATGATTTTCAACTTGACTCGCTGGGCAAAAAGAGACACAGAGCCAAGGCCTAGGTCAGCCGAGTGCTGAAAAGCTCTCTTCAGCACCACACATTTTCGCCAGACACTTTTATTAATGCCAACCATGGCGAGATTGAGTGATGATGGAGAGAATTATGCTCAAATGGGTGTCTATGCATGGATTATCTTCACACCAATGGCATCAACGTTAAAAATGCGATTGAGAGAAGGTGGAGATCTGATGATGTCACGTTGAGACCATTACTATTGCCCAATCAACACAAATCTCTTCAGTGTGACCATTGGAGATATCGAAGAAAATCGCACTGGAGAGAAAAAGTTGCCAAATGCAAATATCGCACATTCTTTTTCTGCATTGCATAATACTTTTATTAAGGGTTAAATCAATAAATTTTTATGAGATATACACTGAGATGAAAAAAGGGTGTTGAGAAAAAAAATTGAGATTATATTGGATTTAACTAGTTTTCACTGGTCTTTAGCATAAATTTCAGTCTCATCAGTCACTCATTAAATAATGCCATCATCAAGAAGCCACCGCCGTTACCGGTTTCAAGTTGACACCTGGATCTCTAGTCAAATTAGCCATCTGATGACCAAAAAAAACACTCTCCAACTCGTACTGAATTTCCACGCTAATGTGGCTCTCCTTGAAGCAATCTTATCCTGAACTGTGCGAACATTTTGAAATCACCATCACGATTTCCCTGAGTGCATCATGACAATCAATGCTGGGCAATATGTGGTTTTTTTCTTCTTCTTCGCACATAATAAAATTATACTGCTGAATTGATTTACAGAGAGCTTCAGAGGCTCATCAACACACTTTCTCTGGGGTGAATTGAATATATTGAAATCCTATTAAATTTTGCAATAATCACAGAAAGGACAATAAGCAAAAAACAACACACTTACTTCCATTTTGTGGCGCTTACATAAGAAAGTGATCATCACATTCTCTCTCTCTAATATATGACTCTGTGCTCTTCCCCTTTTGTCCACCCAGTTGGGCAAAGTAAGATAAAGAAGTTGAGATACATTTAATGATCACTTCGTGGAATTGATTGAATAATTTTGTGGCTTTTCTTGCGGCACAGCCAGAGCATGAAGAATGGAGTGGCATTTGTATTCCTGTCTAAGAGATCGCATTCACTTATTTCATGTGAAAATGGGCATGACATAGACATTATTCGGGGCGAGAGAAATGCGAGAAAAGAAGATCAAAAAGCACTGAAGAGGTCTTGAAACTGAAATCTATTGTGCAATCATTGAACTCTCCTCAGGCTGACCGGCGCTCATAGGCAACAATAGCCCAATATATTGAAGAATACAAGACGCCAATATGAAAATCCTCAAGTCAAACTAATAAAGCATAAATGTCAATGCTTTTAATTCTCCTCTTTCTCGGCACTTTGGCGCTCATTGCAGCTTTTAGCAATGGCTCAGAAAGCATTCCTTCCCATTCGGTTATTCTCATGGCGCCGCCGACAGCATGAAAATGTTAGTCTTCTCGGGTGGGTATTGCGGAAAAAATCCCGCCGAGACGACAGCAAGAGTGAGATAATGGAAAAAATGCCCATGGTAAAACAAGCTCCAGAGACGGGCTTATTTTAATCATCCAGACAGCGAAATTGTGAAAGAAGTGGCGTATTGAAAATTTCATTATTTCACTCAATATAATGTACAGACAATTTTCTGCTCATGTGCGCGCAGCATTAATGGCGAAAAAGGGCAAATTTAAATTGTTGCTAAAGTTTTTTTTTATTATGGCACTTTATGAGTGCATTTTAAACTTATTGAATTTTCTCTGACCTCATCGATTGACAAGGAATGAGATTTGTTTGGTGATCTTCGCCATAAGAATGTTTATTGCGTAGTTTTGCTATTACATCAAACAAGGAAAATTAATTTCTGCTCATCAATCTCCAGAGCGAGAGAGCGAGAGCGAGAGAGAGACATTCCATGTGTCTCTTGATGTTGGCTTGTGCAACCTCTGCCATAGCCTTAGTTGAGAATGCACATAAATGACAAATTTGTTTATTTTATAATCATTAAGGCACAATTATACGTTTTAAATGTCGCATAAATTTTTCACCCGCACTTCGCCGTCGCGGCGAATCATTGAGAATTTTGCAGCTTCTTTTGGTCAAATGAAAATTGCGGTGTGAAGATTTAAAAAAAAAAACCGATCTCTCTGTACACACAATATTCATGGTTTATTGACAAACGCGATTCGTCTTGTGACAAGACAACAATCTCCCCACGCGACTTTTCACACTCTCTCGGCAATTGCCATATGAAGCCTGTGTGCATGCGGACGATCGTGATAATTTATCGTCGCATAATTCACCATACCAGAAAGATCTCCTCCACCAGAAAACACACCAGACGACCACTGTCTGCGTCTGGCAGCATAAAGAAAATTGTCTTCGATGTATACAAATTGAATCAGAATTGCCTAAACAAATATACATCATAAGTTGAATTTCTGCGCGAGGTGGCAAGTCAATAAAATATCAATTAAGAAACTTTTAACTGCAACCTCTGTGACATGTATCATCCTGATCTCCAACCGATAATTTCATAATTTTCCATCGCTCAGCCGTCAAAAGAGTTGTGGAACACACAGAGATGCCGATAACTAGGACGCCAGCAAGTCAATAGATGAATGAATATTTCCGAAGGTTGAACATTTAAATCCAATTTCACGGCATTTACCCTGATCCATTGGTGCACTGTGCCAGTGGAAGAAGACAAAAACCTTAACCGAAATTTTGAGGCGCTTTTATCTCCTACACGATCATTAAACAATGGTGAACTTTAGAGAAAAGTTTTTGAAGATCATGATCACGTGTAAGATCAAACCGTGAACCTTCCTGAGGTGTAGATTTGAAGCTTCTTAGGGATCCAAACACTTCCTCATTAATTGAGACTTCACGCTATTTACCATGCCCAAATATTTGATCAAGCATTTTGCATCTTTGGTAGAAAGTTTTGATTAATTGTTTTGTTTAAAATTCTTACTAAATATGTCTATAATTTCAAGCTTGAGCAACAATAACAACAACCAATCGTCATGACCTTTCAGTAACACCTAATTGTGTGCAAATGAAGCACAATAAAATTAGGCAATTCGTAACTATGAAGAAGAAACATATCCAAGAATATATTCCCAATATGCTTAATTGTAATTTTTTTCGCGCAATCAATCAACAGGCATTGCTCAAGAGCAAGAGAGCTCAATGTTGTATTTTCAGAGATTAAATGCCATACAATTGCCGTTCAATGCTCAACAAACATGATCACTTTGAAATGCTAATGATCTCATTCTATCCTTTATTATTGATCAATCTCATGATCGGGATTACCGGGACAGAGAATCAACTGAAGATGTTTGCTTTTATTTGCTTCACATGCCGATGACTTTTTGTCACCTGACTTGCAACACGTTTTCACCATCAAAAATATTGTTTCCTAATTGTTGACAGCGCAAAAAAAAGTGAATTTATTGACTATTAATTGAGTAGGAAGTTTAAGATCATCTCTTTTTTTTTCATTGATGAATTCCAACATTTAAGATTTAATGATGTCAAATGGAGATCTTAAAAATAGTCTTTTTTCTGCTCAGTGACAAAGTCACAGTGTCGCCTTGAGATTTAAGATGGGTTTTTACGATCGAACGCGATCCTCATTTTATTCAATAAAAAAATCTTCACAATATCCGCATCGTCATCTCTCCTTTATTATTATTTATTTACTTAATATCGAATTAATTCAAATTAGAGGAGATACAGTGTGAATATCGCGGTGGATGTGTTAAGAATATATCGCGATGTTTACCATCGCAAGCGAATGTTGGCAGCATTCCATTGATCATGCTGATCAAACGGAACGATATTTTTAGTTGTTTTACGGTAGAAACATCAATTAGATGTCAATTGCTAATTAATTTTCAAGAATGTCTCACTGGTGTGTGTTAATTAAATTGGTCAGGAGGATGGTGAATTTATCGTATGGCTAAAAGAGAGTATTGAGTCAATGCCATACCAGAGATTTTCCACTGACGATCATCACGATGTAATTTCTTGTTCACGATCAGTAGCCAAATGATCATAATCAGGCATGATGTCGATGAATTGATGCCCTTTTCGTATAAGTCATAAAACACACAACTTGACTATGCCCATCATTGGTGCGAAAACACGTGGGGAAGCGCGAGCGCGCGCGCGGGAAAGGTTATAAATTTCCAGCACTTTGTTGTGCAATCTTACGTGATCATTCATGGATTTCTGCTCGTGTAAAATCTTCCCAGTGTCAGCAGAATGTGTGGATTTTCACGTGTGCGATACTGACCTACGAACCCGGATCCCAATTCACTTTTGCACTCCACTATTTGCTCTCCAACCATCGCTCTCGCTCTTTCGCATCACTTTTTCCTCTCCTGACTGTCTTTCTAACACATTTGTGATTTATAAATAAAATTCATGTCTCTATTTGCATTATCTATTTGAATTCTCTTCATCTCTTCGGTTTGGCAAATACAAATTTTCGTCTGACTGCGTCTTCTCAATGGTGATTATTAGTGTGAAGATATTTTTAATGTGAAGCACTCTGTCATGGGATTTTTTTAATGCAATAATTTGCTATAAAATGTCTTGATTGTCATTGACATTATATTAGGAGAAAAAAACCATTGCATCAATTGTTACAGTCTTGGACATGAGATAAATACATGCAAAAGGAATTGTTCAGTGTGCATGAATTGCTGTGAAAATGTGCGAGAGAGGCAAAAATTTTGGCAATTGCGTAAGAAAAACCATTTAATAATTGATTAGATCCACTTAAAAATCGCACATTCTTCACATGGTCGAGAAAAAAGCAGTAGTTTGTTGACATAGACAATTTCGATGGCGTATTTTTTTCCGCCCTCCACTTTTCGCTCATATATCTCGAAGAAATATCAATATTTTCATATTTGACCACAAGTGATCATCACTATGCCGCATATTTCACATTAAATTTATCTTTGCCGCCTCTGTTTTTTCCTCCTCCTCCTCCTCTTCTTCTTCCGAACGAGAGGTGATTATGTGAAAATGATGGAAGTACTTGAGGATTGTTTTTTTCTTACCAATAGCGATTTAATCTTTCACTCCTTCACAATTTCATTTCGTCTGACTTTTTTTGTCAGGGAAAAAGATGCCCACTGGAATTGCTCAAGTGTCTCCGGGATGATTGGTAAATGCCGGTAAATGCTTTAGAACGAAGTGGCGACGATGCATTTGCAAGAGCGAAGGTGTTGGTGGCGTCTTCTGCACGCGATTATTAAGTGTTCGCACGCTAATAGAGGTGTTGTGTGGCAAAAAATTGCACAATACTTGTACAATTCCGAATTTGTTTCAAAAGTCGCCGACTAGTTTTCCAGTGTCATTAGTCCGTTGTGTTGGAGATAGCGCGATTAATTTACTGGCGAAGGAGTCAAATGTGGGCCAATTGGGTATACATTGAAGCTCTCAATGCTTCTGCCTTCCGTTTGCTGCTTAAAAGGTTATCACAGAGTGCCAATATTTGTTGCATGAGTTTATGACTCGCTTACATTAAGCCAAGAGTTGGTGGCACAATTTGAAAGTTGATTTCAAGGAGGGAGATAATATGACTCAAATCTGTACACCACTTCCGAACACTTCCAAATCGATTGAATCTCTTAAGTATCCATTCGATATTTCTGCAAGAATCCATGATAAACGCTTTTTCGGCCATCTTGTTCCACCATAACCTCAAAATATGACTAAAAAATCTTTAAAGATTTTTTTTGAAAGCTTTCTAGATCACAAAATCATATCTTTTGCTTTGCTAATGAGCTCAAAACGTTGATTCAGAGTCAAAATTGTGCAGAAAATAGTCCAAATGACTCTTTTTGAGGTTATGTGCGATCTTAACACTAAAAATGCTGAATCTGCTGAATTCTACCAATGATTGACGATCTTTTGAATTTGAGCACAAGAATTGATGTGCTAGAATACGAATTATTCCAATAATTAGTCACTAAATCTATTTTTGATTTGTTACATTATAAAAATGATTATTGGGATAATTGTGATTTTTCTACCCAAAAATCATAAGAAATCCAAAGAATCGGCATAATTTATGAATAAAAGAAGCTCTCAAGAAAGGAAAAATGCAAATTTAAGAATATTTTCACTTCTTAAGTACTTCTGCTGAGCTGTACACCATTTCTGACTGTATTATCCTCCCTTTGGTTGATTTCACCCCTGATTGAGTCAAATGGATCTAAATGTCTTGTGTTTCTTTGCAGGTTCGTCAATGCTACTCACCTCAGGTGTGCTGCCGATTCGTCCAGGAACCGAGCGAGACCGTCACGAGACCCAGCGTCACACTGCCACCATATCCCAAGCTGCCGAACGAGATCTCTGACTCAACCGTGCTAACGGATGACGGCTACGTGATCAAGGTGCCAGACAATCAGTACCTGCCCCAGAGGGAACCGTCGCCAGACTCGCAGAACCCCATCGTTGTCCCTGCCCCGACGACCACCTTCCGTCCGGTGCCCAGCCCAACCACTCCTCAGTATCTTCCTCCGCCTCCGTCCACCGCGAGGCCCTACGTGCCACCGGTTGCCGTGAGCACAACCGCCCGACCAGTGGTCATCGTGCCCTCCAGCACGCCCCAATATCTGCCCCCGTACAAGGGTGACCAGTACATCCCGCCAGTCGACAGGGAGGGAGAGCCCTCCAATCCCCAGTCCAACAACATCCTCCCGCCCACCACCAGGCGCCCCCGACCGCCGCCGCAGCGCGGTGAGAACCAGCTGGCTGAGCCCATTGTGCCCAGCGGATGCCCCGCCGCCATGAACTGCACCGAATACCAGTACTGCGACGTGAAGGGAGTCATCACCACCACTCCTGTCGTGCTGACCAAGGAGCAGGAGCTCTTCCGCGTCCCACTCACGGACTGCGTCGATCGCAGGAGAGGCTTCCAGGGCAAGTGCTGCCGCGATCCCAACTACGTCGATCCCTGGCCAGTAGGTCAGCTCGGCCAGTACAATCCCCAAATCCTCAATGCCGCCTTCGACGATGGCTCGTACAGGCCCGAGAAGTACCGCACGCAGCAGAACACAGTGATCCGCGGCCAGTCACAGCTCAGCCGACCCATCGCCGCCGGAGCCTCCACGGTCAATCGCCAGGTGCTCACGACACAGCAAAGCCAGCACATCAGCAACAATGTCATCGCCGATAGATTCTCCGTCGGAGCGGATGCTTGTGGAACGAGAAACCTGGTGAGTAGAGCGCATCTTGAAGTCACGACTTCACAACTTCATTGCCAATGAAATGGTGTGTTTTTCTCCGTCTCTGCAGAACACTCAGCCACGTGGCGCTGGACCTCTGGACACCGGCTTCGGTGAATTCCCATGGCAAGCAATGGTGCTGCTGGAGACCAACCGATCCCTCCTCTGTGGCGGTGCCATCATCGAGCGAGACGTTGTTGTGACTGCTGCTCATTGTGTTTCTGGGTGAGTCTCTTAATTATGAGCACGCGGGCACTAAATTACACCCAAAATTGCTGCCAAGCCCGTGAAGCTGCGGAAGTTCATGATGTGAAAATGTGGCATTTAAATCCGTTTGCAGACTGCCTGCTCGCAGTGTGATGATCAAGGCCGGCGAGTGGCGTCTTGGCGTCGATGAGGAGCCCAAGACATTCCAGATTGTGCGGGTGAAAGCCATCACTCTCCACCCAGCCTACAATCCGACCAATCTCAACTCCGACGTGGCTCTGCTGCATCTCGAGGAGAAGCTTCGCTATGACACCCACATCGGTCCGATCTGTGTTGATGATGAGTACGTGACGAGCGCCTCCACCACGGACTGCGTCACCACCGGCTGGGGCAAGGAGGTTCTCAGAAGTGAGTGAAGAAGCTCTCTTTAAATTTGACGGCAATGCTAATTGCGTCCTCTTGTCTCGTTGCAGTCAACATCCAGAACGCCCTGATGCACTCCCTGCCAGTCACTCTCCTGTCCGACGGTGAGTGCCAGGCCGCTCTCTCTGGCTACGGATTCAACTCTCAGACCGGCGTGTGCGGCCGCCCGCGTGCGGACGCGTGCGAGGTGGACGTGGGCAGCGCCCTGGCCTGCTCCAACGGCAAGGGTGGCTACGTCCTGCGCGGCGTGTACTCCACAGAGACCGAGTGCGCCAGCTCCAACCAGGTCGTCTCGTTCGCTCGCGTGGACACACAGTGGCTGAGGCAGGCGCTGAGCTCACCGCAGCCCCAACCCACTCAGACTGTTCAAATCTACGAGCCTCAACCAAATAGTCCTCAACGAGTGATAACGCAGGGTCCAGCGTACTTGCCACCTCATCGAAAGTAATTCCAGAGCAACACAAGTTAATTAATTGAAATTTTCCCCTCTTCCGCCCCCCAATCTCTCTCTCTCTATTGCGTCCCTCAAAACTTCTTTCTTTCTTTTTTTTGTTAATTTGTAAGGAAAAGAAAATACCTTTTTAGAGTGTTTAGGAGTCTATCCCCTTTTCCTCTAATCTGACACGAGAAAAAAAACATTACGAAAGAGACACACTTTTACACGCCCAACATCACAAAATCACAGATAAACACACAACAAATGAAAAGATACCCAAGAAAATACTCAAAAAAAAATCATTACACTCTTTATATACTCTCTTCTGTGGAGATTTGTATCGATTTTTGTGTTTTTTGTACTTTTAAACCTCTTTGCAATTTTTGCAAAAGTTAAAAACCCTCTTTTTGGAACGATTTTCCTCCGGATTTCCTCCACCTTTGCAAAAGTGGTTGAAGTTCAGAGGACTGATGGTGAAAAAAAAAATCAAAAGTATTTCCTAAAAATTTCAAATGTTTATTAGCGATAAGAATTATTATTTAATGCCTTCTTAAATGCTATTTAAAGTAATAAAGTAAATACAAATACTATCCCATGAATTTTATTTTATACATATAGAAAAATGTTTGGACTGATTGGTATTTGGAATTTTTCTTTAGCATTCGCAGAAAGCGAGAGACGCGAGATTATTTCTGAGGCTCACACCTCGCTTGCAGCATATGCTGCAAGACATCGCGACTTTCCGCCCAAAACTTATTGACGCATAGCGAGCAAATACAGAGGAAAAAAACTCCCGACAGAGAAGCAATCAGCGAAATTAAGTTCAAAATAATCTTATCGTATTACATAGTATATTCTTTGACACGCTGCAGCGGGACTATTTTTGGTATGTGCCAATAAATGAGCCACAGTTGGGGCAATAGTGATTAGCATTCTTGCACGAATCCATGCAATAAGGCACACAAACGCATGGCCAGCACCTGAAAGCAGGCGGAGAAGAAGAATTGTAAATAAAATTCTCTAATTCACAATATTGCATTTTGCAATTATAAGTAATTAGCATTGATTCTGAGTGATAAAAGAAAACTCACAGAAAAACACAAAGCAGAATTGCGATCACGTGAGTTCTAGTGGTTGATTCCGTTCTCACGTTCGTCATCACGCTGAGGCGACAGGAAGGGCACACGATGCCCGTGGATGAGGGGCCCACGGCAGGTGCTGCAAAAAAGGCAGAGAGAGTGAATCAGATCAGTGAGTCATGCGAGTTCTCTATTCCAAGGGGGAGATAATATGGTCAGAAGTTGTTTACAGATCAGAAAGTGTTGCAATTTTTACTCTAAAAAATTAATTCTTATCCAAGCCTTGATTTTGACATATTTTACTAGGTTATGTGACTGATTTAAGACTAAATAACATCTTAAACTAGAAATTCTTGCGCTTAATTTGAAAGCATTTTCACTTTATTTGTAGAATTGCGTATTTTAAGTAAGAAATTAAGAAAAGGTCAAGAAAAATACGAAACAGTGCAATTTTAGCGGAAGAAAATCAAAAAATAATTGTATAAAAACGTTTTGGGTTAGATTTGAGTTAGATTTCAGTCAGATTCTAGTTAGATTCCAGTTATTAGTTGATTTTAGGATATTCATAAACAATTCATGGAATCTTCAGTCCTGTTAAGAAGTGTTAAGGATTTTTAATTTTAATATTCTCTTATTTTTCTAGAAGAGCTTGAAAAGCTTCAGAAAGAAAACATTCCGCAGAGCAATGTCAATGACAAATTAGTCTTTAATGGGTTATTGAAGCTTATAACATCTCTATAAGACAACAAATTCACAGGATGTTTCAATAAATAAGTGAGATAAATTGCACTGTTTACTCATTCTCGTCTCTCTAGCCAATTGATTGCTTATTGGCTTTATTTGCAGACCATTTTCTGCTGAGACTTTCTCAGAATTGTTGTCTGACAGTGCAGTGAGTGTAAAATGACACGCGATGATCTCCCACGAAGTTTTAGATAGTGATAAGACGAAGCATAAATAAAACATTCTACTATTACACATAATCACACCTTTTGCGCCTTGCATTTGTCATATGAGATCATCAGCTTCGTATCATCATGAGAGCAGAGCAAATTTAATAATAACAGAAATGTATCTTTGCACAGTTGATAACGAAGATATCATTGTGATAGCAATATTTTTTCTAAATTTATAATTATAAGAATGGAAAGTTTCTCAACACATTTACTATTTACTCTTCTTTGCTCAACGCGATCTACACTTGTGATCTACATCAATTAATTGAAACACACATAAATTAAATTGTCTGATTCACATTCCTCACTCTATTTACACCTACAACTTATCTTGTGTAGGAGCAAAAAAAAAAGTACCTCAAAGTCACAAAAAGTCACTGAATTGGTCGTGCTTGTGAGCCATTTTCCTGGGGATTTTCTAAGTCTCTGAGTAAATAATTTGGCTCATTCTGTCGAAGCGAAGATAAAATCACCAGTGATAAGATAACCGGCAACTTGTTGGTGGACTTTTCAATGCCACGCCTCGTGTTTCAATCACAATTTATTGAAAGAAATTCCATCTTTGATACTCACATGTGACGATGACCGTTTGTGTATTCATGTTGCGTGTTTGGATTTTGTCTGGAGAATGAGAATTGATGCACGAAAAGCACTAAAATTTGCTGGAAACTTCGTAATGAGGCAACTGTGGCCTTACAATGTTCACTTAAGCACGCTTTTTTAGGTTTCACTTGCTCGCTCTTGCGCGTTCTGTGACGGAATGAAGCTCGGCCGAACACTTGGAGGGGCTTTTGTCGGTCAATCCAGACTCTCTTATCAATCTGGGACTTTGGCGAAGTGTGCTATGACGCCACCAATGTAATTTATTGCTATATATCAGGTATTGACGAGGCACTGAGAGATGGGAAGTTGATATAGTTCAGTGTGCACGTTCGAAGAGAGATGAAGAATGACTCACAGCGAGACGCCTTCGCGAGGGGATTTTCTTACGCACACTTTCGCGTGTCGCGAGTGAGTATATGTAGGTGAAAAGCATAGCTTATATGTGAGAATATGCAAAGTGGAGCGCACAGTCGTGCCTCAGCCTAAATACAAACTACATTTTCCGATTCTACTGTGAATGATTGCAGTAAAGCATATGCTGTGTTCATTTGCTCTAGGCGCAACTCTAGGCTAGAGTAAATTGCAAATGGTAAAATATTTTGAATATCTGCACTGCCAGAGCTTCTTTTTCAACAAATTGAGGCATTTTCTTAGTTAATTTTCCTTAATAAAGCTCAATTTTATTGCTTTTCTAGGTTATGTGATTGATTTAAAACAAATTTTAATGCTTGAATAACCCAAAAATATTAAATTTATGTTCAAATTGCAAATATTTCTCTTTTTCTACGCAAATTTGGGCATTTTTGACCGGAAAAACTCCAGATTGATTGAGAAAAACATTAAAAGTCAATCATAACCTCAAAAAATTTAATTTCAGTCTAAAAGAATGTTTTTTTTTGTAGAAACATTCAGAGATTCACTGAATGTTTCACTCATTTCCAGATGTGAAATGATCTAAATTAGTCCAAGAAGAATATTTTAAGTCGAATTCATAATCTCACAATTTAGTTAGAATTTTTCAAAGCATTTTCTGAAGGAAAAACTTAAATTAGATTTTGATAAGTCAAAATTGAATGTGAAAAACAGTAAAAAGAGTCTAGAAAGTGATAGAAAATGCTGCAAAAGACGTTCAAAAGCGTCTGAAGTGTTGAAGCTTCTGCACAGACGCTGTGGAAGTGTCATTATCTCCCCCTTGAGTAAACCTCGAGAAAAGAATATAACTCTTTATACATTTTAGACATCATAGAGTTCATTCTTGATTTCTTACACTTAATTTTCGTACAGAAAACCCAAATAAAAGACACAGAATTTCTCTTTTTCCCATCTTCAATGTCTTCAACGCTTCTTTTGCTGAAACTCCCCAAGGCAGTAGTCACACTTACTGCAGTAGAGGAACTGTTGCTGGATGTTCTTGGCGAGGCAGGGCAGAAAGCAAAGCGGCCAGCAAGTTAAGATGCAATTTGCTGCAATCTGCGATGTAGCGAGCTGAAAATGTCAAACAAGCACTTCATGAAAAACTTCTTCAAACACTGATTTCAAAGTTTCTTCTCCTACTCTTCGCGTGTAAGTCCTCAAGATGGGTCTGCTTCTTTGGCCACACTTGTTGCAGATGATCCTAACGCTTGTTGGTCTCCAAGTTTCCACTAAGAAGACAAGATTAATATTAATTATGCTAATGAAAAATAAAATTTCTATGTTTACCAGAAGTTATATAAGATTTCCTTTGAGGTTCTGAAGCTTTCTGTGGAACTTTTGCCTTCTGAGCTTCGACAGTTTGCACACTTTTGCTCTTAACGGTGTGTTTTTCTTCCTCAATCACATGCTTCTCATCTTGAGGTGCTTTCTCCGCCTTGAGGACTTCTTCAAGCGATGCTTGTGATACATTTTTAACGGAGGGTTCTTCATACAATTCAGCCACTACTGATTGCTTTTCTGACTTGCCTGTGTACTGCACATAATCCTTCACATTGATGGGAAAGGAAGGAGCACACTTGTCTTCCGGAAAAGGGGGCGTTGGAATTGGTGGAGGTCGAAACTTTTTCTCTTTTGCATCTTCATCTGTTGAATTTGATGATTTTGTCGATCTAGAGTTCTTTTTCACCTTCTTCGGCTCGATTTCGTTGGGAGAATTCTTCTCCTCAGATGTTAAAACATGCGCCACAATTGTCACTTCGGGTTTTCGATTGAAGAATTTCTTATAGAAATTTGTTGTTGAATCATTCTCAGATGACAATTTTTGATTATTCATTTCTGTTCACTGCAAAAGAGTCTAAAATATTCACTTATTCGTCAAATGTAGATTTTGTTTAACTACTCACATCCTTAAATTTCTCTGTGATTCCCAACATAGAGCCACAATTTGAACAGACGTGAACTCCCACTTGGAGTTTAGGACAATTGCAGAGACAGCATCGATGCAGACGAAAGAATTTGACAATTTTCCTGTATCTTCTCTTATACGGAGTGTTCTGTGTGTGTGGCAAAAGAGAGAACAATAAAATTCAGGTGACTCTTCTTTGTCAATATAAACAATACTTTGGTCACAATGTTTGTTGCAACGCCTGACATGCAATTGTAGCAAGTGGTAAAAATGGGATTCGGACCAATAACATTCAGAGGAACAATCTTCTTGTGGCGCTTCTTGGTTTGCGATTGATTTCTCTTCCTCCACCGACTCAAATTACCCTTTTCACGGGATCTTTTCCACTTGTTTTCCTCCTCTGAAGACAGAAAATTTCCCATTCAATCGCTTGGACACACAAAAGATTCACACAGAAAATGCACCAATTTTTTTTTTGTATGCAAAATAACAATGAGACAAAAATACACTTTGTCCTCGTTGCTACTTTGATTATAAAACACAACAAAATGATATTCTTTCTCTGTTCTTTATTAAAAAATATAACACTATTATATCTCTTTTGACCAAAATACTCTGCCATCAAATTTGCAAACCTTTCTCAACAATCTTTCTTCTTACAATCTTTCCTAACATGCTTCACAATTTCATCATCTCTTCTCAAGTAACACAATAACATGATGAGATGTGCTATTATACATATAGAATTAGGGGAAATTCACCAGAGATTTTTCCATCGACGCTAAATTCACACGATCATCAAAAAAAGCACCTCAAATTAGGTGAGATGGTGAATGTGAGAGCTTTTTTCTCTCTCTCTCTCTAAAATAAATTACATAAATAAATTATAACTATATTAAAAAGCCATTTATATCCGAGTCAGACAATTAAATACCATTAAGCAATCAATTGTAATTAAATACAAATTGCTCAAACAATGGGAAGATTAAATTCTTCTGTGGATAGCAAAAGGTGGATTGAGATTCGATATTCAATACTGGTAAGAATACTAATTGTGCTACTGGCATTCTGGATCTCAACCTAAATATTGTCAATTAATTATATGTGACGTGTATGCAATGCATAGAATAGTTTTTAATACAATTGAGATGATAATTTCAATGCATCATTCGTTCCTTGAGGCTCCATTTATTCACTCTGCAAGTGAATTGATTTGTCAATTTAATGGAATTTATTATTTCATGGCAAAAACGTGAGGATATTTTAAGCATTGAAATAGAAAAACCTTCATTGATAAATTGTATATTAGGAAATGTGATCAAAAGTCGATGACTTTTCTTATTCGTCTGTCCTTAAGCAGCAAAATACACAAAAGAAAATCAAATTTAAAAATCCACCATAAGATTTTGTTATATTAATTTCTCTATACAATATATAATTTGAAAAATACTCCTTATTAATTGACTTTTTAAGGTGGTTTTCCTTCACAAATACCAAATTATACTAAAAATTTATGCCATAAAACTTGCACAGCGACATGACCAAGAACTTGAGACATTTTCCCATCCCTTCTCCTCCTCCTTCTCAGAAAGGAGAAGCTTTTCCAGACATGACTGCGAAAGAACAGCAAAGTTGATCGTGTGAAATGAGCTTTGACGGCATCTGATAAGACTTTCCCCATAAAATTCCATCCCATAATCACACAAATGACTCTTTTTTTTTAAACTCTTGAGGCACAAAGAACATTCTCCAGTTGATTTTCAAAAGAGATTCTCCACTTTAAAATCTAATTTTACACGAGAAGAAGAAGAAGAGAAAGAGGACAGAGAACTTATATGTTTTAGAGAGAGAGTGTGTGAAAAAAGGGGGAATGAAGAGGAAAAGTGGGAAAAAATTTCACAGTGTGTTCTGTTTGTTGGTCGATGAGGCAGACGATGCACGTGATTTCCGCCGACGTGGCTGCAATGATGAATGGATTCGCGATCTCTGAATTCTGCTCTGTTCATCGCCACATGGCAATGTGCTGCTGCTCAGCGGGCGGGGGTGAAAAAGGGGTAAACACAGTGTGAGTAAGTGAGTCAATTTCCCATGTTTTGCTGTATTGGAAAATGGAGGAAAAAAGCGCGCCTCTCTTCTCACCTCAATTCCAATTTTGCAATTCTCTGCTTCAATTTGGCCTGACTCGCCGAATATTCTGCCAAGAGACGAGCGAGGCGCAAATTCAAATTCTCAACAGCACTCTCCAATTTCACGACGCCACTCTCAAGGGAATCCTGCACTCGCTGCGAATCTGTAGAAATCGAGATAATGAATAAATTAATGACGAACGTGATTGAGGGAAATCACAAGTATTTATTGATAAGCACGCCAATAAAGGAATTTTCGCACAAAATTATATCAAGTTATTAGATTTGATGTGAAAATAAATTTAGCAAAAGAAACGTGCGATGTCTTAAGCAAAAAAAATATAAGCTTCTCACGATTTCTTATTCACTATTAAAATTGTATTGGAAAAACTTTTTCTTCATGATGATGGATTTCTATCAAATATGATCTTCTGTGCAGCACAAAGATTAATCTTTGCATCTCTGAAGAAATTGTGCTCATGCGAAGTTTTCCACAAGTTCATTGGCACAAGAGAGAAAAAAAAACCAACGACTTCAAGGAGCCAAATGCTACTTACTGGCAAAAACTTCTTCATCAAGTAATCCGTCCTTTCTAAGCAGTTGACAACCACGCTCGGTGAGGGAAGCTCTCGCCTCGGGATAATCTGCCAGTGTCTCCCACAAGTCACGTTTCGCCAGGCAGAATAAATCCGAATAGCCTGCAAAGGAAGTTTCCAATCCCCATTTGAGATTCTCCGGGCTAATTAAGTCATGCCAAGGAATGCATTGCAATTTTGGGGCAAATGTTAAGTGAAAGTGTCACCTATTGATCGGACGTTCGCCGTGCGACGATTCCCAGTCCGATTGCCGGCTATTTCCAGCACAGACACTTCGCCGAACACAGAGCCCGCGCCCAGCGTCGCCAGCACCATCACGCCGTCGTCACCCACCACCGACAGGCGACCGCGCTTCACGATGTACATCTCCTTGCCGACGTCACCTTTGCGGCAAATGTAGTCGCCCGGACTGAAAACCTGCCGAAGAAACACAATTTAATTGTTTCAATTGTATTTCCCAGCCACTCAAGGGAATATTCCACAAGGGGGAGATGTTATGGTCAGAAGTGGTGTACAGATCAAAAGAGAAGTGTTCTTTACATCTTTCTAGGTTATGTTACTAATTTAAGATAAATTTTACAAATAAATAACCTCCAAAATCATTCATTTTTTCGTCTAAAATGATAAAATTTGAATGAATCTGATGAAGCTGTGTTCATCATGCTAAAACTGATCATAACCTCTAAAATACTGTTTTAGGATACAAAATTGACTGTTTTAACAAATATTTGATTGATTTTGTACTCAGAAATGGCAAATTTTAAGAAATTCTTTAAGAGATGTCAAGGTAATTTTTAGGTTATGTTCAAAATTCCTTCCAAAAGAGCGATTAAAAATTGAATAACATCAAAATATCCACTGGAAACTTCAAATATTTCTAAAATATATTATTTCTCTGCAAGTTTTCAAGGTCATACAAGTAAAAATTACGTTTTTGTAGGTCAAAAACTTCTAAATTTGAGGTTATGAGACTTTAAGTGGTTGAAAACATCTCTTAAGTATCAAAAAAGGGTGAAGGAAGTATGAAAAAGTAATGTTTTAAGCACTGCCAAAGTTCTGGAAGTGTCTGTGATTCTTCACAGAAATTGTGGAAGTGTTAAAAAGTGTTGTACACTGTTTAACCGTATTATCTCCCCCTTGATATTCCACAGCGCACAAACTGTAATTTTCTGCATTTGTATTTAATTTTTTCTTTACGCAATTTGTTAGTAATGCTAAGCGATAAATAATAGATGGTAATTCTGTGTGATTGATACATAATCCACGATTGATAATACTTCATGACGCTTTGTTTCGCTATCATGAGAAATGCTTTAATTAAAACCTTCTCAATTTTTCCCAACACTTTGCGCACTATATTTAAATTCAGGGAAATTGCAATGGGAAATTCGTTTCATTTTTAATTAATGTATTTTTGTGGTAAGTGAATTAAAGATTTGTGTAATCAATTAATGTGTTTTTCATAATTATCTGGCGATTAAAACCACAGATTTATTTGCTGATTTACTTTAACCGCAAATGTAATCAATCCAGTGTTTATAAATAATTTATGATGAATCCATCATATAAATATGAATGCACGAATGTACATATAGTTCTTGTTCTATTAAAAGAAGATAAGGAAATTTATATACAAGTGAGTTTCATGCGAAATCCCATCACTTTTTTCCCCACCAACGCAAACCGATGTTCTCAATTTCTGAAGGAAAAAGGGATAATCAAAGAAATTTGAGTCAATTTCCTGAGGATTACATTCATTCTCCGTGGAATAAAAATGGAAGGAAATTTATCTCTCCAGCCATTCAGTGCGAAAAGGTGCCTTTTTTCTCCCTGCGACCCACGAAATTACTTTAAACACGCCAAATATTGAACTTTTCACTTTAAATATTGAGTGCTTCAATATTTAAATGAGAGAATTGCAGCATTTCATCTCCCACGTCGTGTTTTTTTTCATCCTCTTCTACTTGTGTGGCTTTCAGAGAAAATCAATAATTAAAATAATGATGTCGGAAATTGCTGATCTTTATTTTTTCCCGTATTACTCAACAGATTTCCTTTAATGCTTGATGGCCAGAAGGGAATATTTTGCTTATTTGCAGTTCGTAAGAAATTATTTTGTGTGGAAACACAATTATTCCGGATGAAAAACGTTTGCAAATGAATTTTATTGCAAGAATTTCATTCATCACAATCATAAATAAAATCAGGGCAAGTCTTATCAACTGTCTAGAAGTGGGATAATGTGCACTAAACATCTCTAAATCATCTCTAAATATAGGACGCGAGCGGGAGAAAATTATTAATCGCAGCGGGAGAAACTTTTTCAAGGGGATTCAACTCGTCAGACACAGCATTAAGTTTCCACAGGCAGTTGTGGGATGGGATAAAATTAGTGCAAAACTTCTCACCTGGAGCTTCAATTTAAGGACAAGCGCTTCGAGCAATCCGGGCTCGCAGTCTTGGAAGATCCTCACTTGCTTCAGCGTGTCCATGTGCACTCGAATGGCAATTTCCGCCTTGAGTTTGTCCGGCAGCGCCGCCAACACGCGCTCCTCGTCGAGTGCCCCACTTTGGGCCCACGTGTAGGCGAACCAGCGGATCACCTGAAAGTGATGCGACCTTTTAGCATCAGCACACATCCATCGGTGTCATCGACAGACTGTCGTGACCATTTACACCCAGAATTAGCATCGCAAAAGTGCTCCCACTATAGAATACTCACTCGTGCCTCGAGTTCGCCGCCAACCTTCCTGAAGGCCATATATTGTTTCACACCATCCATTCGGTTCTGAAATTCGACCCTCGCCACATTCATATTGGATATCATAGAGCCAATATTTCCTGTGTTGAGAGGAGAGAGAAGAAAATACACCGATCAATCACTGAATCCTTCCCAATAATTCCCTTTCTCTGCGCGCGAAGGCAGAGATGAGGAACATTGAGAGAGAGAGTCAATTTTTGCCCACTGATTTACAGCTGAATATTTGAATTCAGAGGCGAAGGTGAGATACTGTGTAATTTCTATGCAGATGCCATTATAATAACTCTGAACAATAGTATGCTAATTTAAAATTGAAATGAAAATTGGATTATGAAGACATGGAGAGAGAAGGACAGAGTGTGATGCGAATAAACTAGTTCAAAGATGCGTACAACATTGCATTATTACTTCTAGACGTGGAATAAATAAATAAAAAAATAATACTGGAAGATGTAAGAAAAGGGATTTCAGCTGCAACTGCTGAAAAATCGCGCAAATACAGTTTCCAAAGCGAAACAATGCGGAAAAACAATTACATGAATTGTGAGAACAATGCATGTGTTTCTGACATGTTGGTTAATTCAATTAAATTTTAGTGACGACAGAATTAAAAATAATAATATCCAATGAAGGCCTCATGAATTGAAAGAATTGATAGAGATTAAATAAATAAAAATAAATTTAATGTGATTTAAATTCATCAACCGCACTTCTTTGGAACGCAATTATTTCTAATTTTATCCTTGTAATTCCCTCGCGCAGCAAAGGAGTGGCCGCGACAAATTTAATTAATCAATTCTGGAGACATCTGGCTGTAATTTTATTGAGACCAATAATAAAATTAATGAACTTCTTTAATTGTGGTGTCGGTTGACCTACATTACACTTCGCAGAGAGATTTTCTTCTCGCAAGGAGAAAAAGGTCCCGAAAAGAGGTGTGCTCTCCATTCACCGCCTCAAAATCAGCCTCTCTGTGCCAAGGGGGAGATTAAACTGTAGAATTAAGCCTTTAAACTGTACGATTCCATGGTAGAAACGCTTTTTGGCCATCTTTTCTTGACCATAACCTCAAAATATCACTAAGAAATCCTCAAAAACACCAGTTGGAAGCTTTCCAGAGCACAAAATCATCTCTTACAATTTGGAAATGTCCTTCGAATTGCTGATTCAGAGTCAAAATCGTGCAGAAAACAGTCCTAATTACTCTTTTTGAGGTTATGTTTGATTTTAATACACTTTACAGTGTTTCTTGGGTTCCTTGGCATTAAAAGTTCAGAATAGAGATGATTTTTGCGACTTCAGCATAAGAACTGATGTGATAGAAAACAAATTATTCACTAAATCTGTGCTTTATTCATTACATAACCTAAAAAAAATTTTGGGATTGTTTCAAGCGAAAAAATCTAAGGGAATCCAAAAAATTCGTCAGTAATTCCTCACAAGAGGAATATTTTTAGTTTTCGAACACCTCTTCAAGCTATATTATCTCCCCCTTGCGCTGTACATCCTTCGCAGTGAATTCAATTTGAATTAACGACTCAGAGTGCACGACAACTAATTCTGCACTCCACCAGCTCTCGTCCTAATCTAGATTACTCTGTCGACGGTGTCATCGCAACTCCGCTCTTATGAATATATTTACCGACAATGGTGGCGAAGATGAGTACGCCGGCGAGAAAGTCCGCCACGACGAAGAGGTACTCGGCGTCGTTCTCCGGCGTTGGGGTTTCTCCAATGGTCGTGAGGGTGAGTGTGGACCAGTAGAAGCTGTAAATGTACTGACGTGACAGTGTCGAGTTCTTCGGTCCATTTAAGTTGTACACCCAATTGTCTGTGCCAAAGCCCAGAGCGTAGCTAATTGCAAAGTAGAGACACGCATTCCAGTGGATGAGCACAAGAATGGCCAGAACAACCTGTCCGGAAAAAGGGGGAGAGAGAAAAAAACACCCGCAAAAATTGATTTGAGTCCAAAGTAGATAAAAGCCTGTGGGCGGTGATGGTGAGGGTTGGGAAGAGAGCAATGTCTAATTCAATAGAAATTTCATTTGGACCTCCTCCACAATCGTGTGGAAATCCCTCCTGAACACTTTAGATATCTCCTCTACAATCGTCCTCTTTTCTCCATCCAGTCAAACAGTGAGCGCCCGCGAGAACGCGTGGCATTAGATGACTTTTTCGGCATTTTAATTATCCTGTGCTTTTGCACAGAAATCAATTTGTCAGCGAAATAACTTGAGGGAAAATTGACGCCTTGATTTTCGCATTCTTGACACATTTACTGAGAATAAAACACACACGCGTGACTCAAGCTCTCACTGTCCATCTCGTGAGGAGTTTATCACAAGAAAGGAGGGAGTGTTTGAAGGAGAGAGGAAAAAAAGGAGCGGAAAAACCCCCCGTCCAAAGGGTGAGAAAGAAAAACATATCGGATATTGAGAGAAGGGAAAATAAAATACCCACTTTGCATATTCGAAATACATTCGGATAGCCGGTAGCTGTTTCTGTCCTATCGAACCATTCCCACATCCTCGGCATACGCAGAAGTCTATTGATTCGCACGATAACAGGACACGGCACACGAGCATTGCAGGAGCTCGGCGGCCACCACAAGTAGGCAATATCGGTAGGAAGAATTGAGAGCAAATCGAGCCGCCAACCCTTCGTGGAGAAGTAGTGGCGACGCAATTTTGCGGCATTTCGCACTAGGAGCCCCTGCTCTAGGTAACCTGCAAGTGGAGAAAAAGGTTGAAAATGATCACATGTAGTCACACTGAATATTTTATTCCACTCTCTCGTCCTCTATTTTCACCACTCTGGGCTTCACATTGTCGTGGAAAAAGACGAAGAATATGTATTGAAACATCGAAGAATACAATGGAGGGTTGAAGAAGAAATCAATATTGCAATTTATATCGTGTTTTGACGACCGCATTTTCTAAGATTTCCCCCTTTTTTTTCATCCCCCCATTCATTCTCTGGACTCACACAGCATATTCTTGAGGGTGAGGTGATATCTTCACTTGTCATTCCTTCACCACAATAAACACGATATCGAGCCTCTGGGAATTCTTTAAATTGCTTTCAGGTTAAGTATCTTCGTCGCAGTAAATTGAACTACATCAACACATGGAAGACTATTAAAGAACGCTTCGACGGGTGAATCGAAAACTATGATAAGTTGATTTTTCGTGTTTCCCAAGAAATCTGTCTTAAACTGCAGTATTTCGCAAAAAATGCTTCTCTGATAAACATCCTAATTTCATATTGCCAGAATTTTCCTCAAATGTTTGTTCTTGAAAGACTTAAAATGAGGAAAATTTGGCATATTTTCAATTTTTCTTCAATACAAAACTTTGAAAAAGATCTATGAAAAGTTTTATAAATTAATTTCTTATAATGTGTTTGGATAAAATGTATAAAAATATATTAGAAATCGGCTTTTGGACAGTAATAATAAACAATAATTAATAATTATTGCAATTATTGCAATTATTGCATTTTTAAAACTTTTAGCGACTGTTTCGGTTAAAATTTGGCAAATTTCGCAGCGAAATTAGCGCTAAATTTTCAAATCGGTTTCCTAAAAAATGACAATTTTGACTTTTCATAGTTTTCTATCCACCCGTCGGCTTGGGTAATTCTAGAGACATCAATTGAGAGAGCATTAACTAAAATTGTATGCAAAATTTTCTAATTATTAATCACTTTTTATTATTAGATTAAAATTCCAATTTGCCTTTGAGAAACTATATCTTCTTCGGATGTAATTAAACAATGAATATTCATTGCTTATTTAAAATTGCGGGAAATAAGAATCTGGAGAGTAATTTATTTTAAAACGGATGCAGGATGTATGGCCATGTGACAGATAAATGAGTTAATTTAGAGAAGAAAATGTGTCAGCGGAAGAAAGTAATTTGCCTAAAAATTGCACAATTAGGCGGTCGAATGAGATAAATTGCCGTCTTTTGTTTGTTAATTGGGAAGAAAAATCCCTCAATTTTTTTTTACTCTATGACGACAATTGAACTTTTTGCGATGAGTCAACTTTCACTTAGGAAAAATCGAATACCGCATATTTTCCGCCATGATAAGCATCGACACACACGTAAAGTGTTGATTAAAGGCAATTCGTGTGTCGATTGTTGGGGAGCAATAGAGAAAAAACTCTTCAAGATTGAAACTTAATTCAGTGTATAAATTTTCCAACAATTTCAATTAAGTCCAGAGGAGAAAATCTCCCCACTAGCGGTGAAGCGGTTGCGATGTTGAGAAAACCGAAAAGCTTCAATCATTTAATGGTTGGTTTTGTGTGTATTAAAAAGAGAGACTGTGGAGGGTGAATTATTTACTCAATCCCCACAGAGCACATGTTTCCACTATTATTTCCCAGCACACACACACAAGTATAGTGTGTGCTGAGGAAAATAATCCCCAGAGTGAGAGCGAGAGCTATAAAGTTAATTGCTCAATGTGGGCGCAGTTTCAGCAATTTGTACTCGAAGCTCTGCGGTTTTTCTCCGTGGATAGAAACTTGACAAATTCAACACTATAGACAAACCGCACAAGTACAAGCGGCTACGGAAAATTATTCTCTTCCCTTTTTCACCCCCACTGCAAACCCTGTAAATATTCTTTCGCAGGAGGGAAGCCAGAAAAAAAGAATATAAGAATTTACGTTGCGGCTCCCAAGGAGTTACTTCTCCACATGAGACACACACACACAGTGCTATTGTTGGAGACATTATCCATAAGAAGCATCCTTTAGGGCTCATTTGAGGATGTTTCTCACCCTTCTGTAAGCCCCCAAAGATGGCTTGACATTCAAGGGTAACGTGGGTAACATTTTCTCTTCTTACCTTCGTGACAGTGAACAAGTGTATCGATGATGTAGATAAAGTCACACGTGTAATCAAGAATCCACCACAGAGCGGGGGATTTCTTGTTCAACTCCCAGAAGACGGCACGTCCTATCACAAAAATGACATTGTAGAGAACGGCGACGGACACAACGAGCAACCACTGGAAATGGGTGAAAGGAAGAAAAAAAAGAATCGCATTAGAGCCCAATAAACTTTTCCATTTTCACTTATATGATGGCGGATCACATTTGAATACTCCTCAGTGTATTGTTGGAATTTTAATGGAATCCATTTGATTAATTTCTCTTTTATTTACACACTCCTCAGCAAATGAACACACCATTTCGAGTGTGAGAAAAGGGTCAATTTTGCACCATTAACCAGATTAATTGCTGAGAGTTGGCGCTGTGAGTTTGACAAAGTTGCGGATGGTGTAATTCTCTAAAACGCTCGATTAGACACTGAAAGGGTGACAATTGAGCTCTCTATGAGTCAACAAATGTGTGCGAGACTTCTCAAGGCGTCAACAGAAAAAGAAACTTTCTTCTCACGTGAGTAGTTTTTTTTTCTCTCTCAAAAATCCCTTCTTGAAAGCTAGAAACTTCTTCAATCACACTTCATCGCACTTTTATGGCCTCTTCTCATTGAAATTTTTCTTTCAATTTTGTGGCTAAATTCACTCCTCATCTCCTATCGGCAATGATTTTGCAGATTGTGAAGCGATAAAATGTGATTTTTCATCGTACAGCCAAAAGCCCATAAAAGTGGCTCAAAAGGACATTTATGCAGTGCGCTGAATCCATTATTGTAACCATAAATCACAGAAAAGAGCTTCGCTCTCACGACTGCCTCAAAAATGCGGATGGGAATGTTTAATTTAGTTCACAAAAGACGCCCTAGACTGAATTTAGAGACTCTAGAGTTGGAGATAAATTGCATATTTTATAGCGATACCATTTTAAGATTGTCCATGATTCAATATTTAACAACAAGACACAATTTCCATCTGTCAAATGAGGCTCTAAATATACTAAAGTCACTTTGAAAAGCATAAGCAGACTCTCTATATTAATTTTCCGTATAGTAAATTCAAACATATTACATGGAAAAGATAAAAAATATGCCGCAATTTGTAACCAATTTTCGAAAGCTCAAATAACTGTGAAATTTCATTAGGAGCATCCCCTAAAATTGTGATAAATTTCTCCACAAAGCCTCTGTTATGAAAATTCAACAAATATTCATGAGATTGTTTATTGCTTCCCCCCAAAGAACCCCACACTTTCCCGCATTCAAAAATCATATGATATATAATACGGGAGGAAATTACTAAATTCATTAATAAGAGGGAGTGAGAATTAAATTAATTTGCGTGTGTTTCACTAGAGTTTGTGGAAAATTTACCCTTGAGGAAGGAAGTGCCTTTGCCTCTCTAAACTAAGGAGCAAAGAAAAATTAAAGAGCAAAGCCTGACATTCTTGTTATGAATTGAAAATTATACTCAAATGATGAAGAGTATATCAAAGAACACGGAAAGAATGTTAGAATTCCCATGAGTTTCAAGTGTCTTTTCAACTCCCAATATTTTCACAGAAATTCCTACGTAAGTCATTAAAAATACCACGACGTAAAAATTACCCCCAAATTGAATCCAAGGGTGGGAAAGATTTCTAGTGTGAGAATAAATATTGAGAGAGAAAATATTGTCCTTTCTCATTAGCAATCCCTCCTTGGGCGGCATGAAGAAGCAAGGAGGAGATAATATGCCTTAGATAAAGTTTTTAGAATGAATTATAATGAATTTCTTATGTTTCTAATCAATATTTGTGTAAGAATTCGCTTCAAAACACATTTTTGCATATCTTTTCCGAACATAACCTCAAAAATATCGCTAAAAAATCTCCAAACACTACGCTTGGAAGCTTTCAGGATCACAAAATCATCTGTTTTGGTTTGCCAATGAACAGAAAACACAGATTCAGAGTCAAAATTGTTAAGAAATCATTCTAAATACCAATTTGTCATGTTAAAATCAATATTTTTTTAGGTTATGTTCAACTTCAACACGATCAGAAGTGTTTCTTAGCATTCTTAGCCTAATTCTGCCAATGATTAACGATCTGTCGAACTTGAGCAGAAGAATTAATGCGTTAGAATACGTATTATTTTCTAAATTTATCCTTGATTCATTACATAACCAATAAAAAGGATTATTTTGATTGTTTCCAGCGCAAAAAATCAAATGGAATCCCAAGAATCGGGATGATTAGTCAGCAAAAGAAGCTTCTTCTGAGCTGTTTGGTTTGGGGGTTGAGCAACTCACCCTGTAGTGTGAAGGCAAGGACGGATCGACTGACAACCGATTGCAGAAACTATCACCGTTGGTTGGTTCAGATGGTTCACCAGTGGTCTTCTTGGTTGCTGGGATGTTTGAGAATTTGTCCAGGAACCAATCTTGTGTGTTGGATCGGCCCCTCTTGGATAGTCTAAATCTCAGTGCATTGAAGGAACGACGCAGTGCTGTTAACTTTGACTGCCCCGATGTTTCCTGCAAGGGATTAAGAGACAATTTTTGGTATAATTAGTCGCAATGTAAATGGTCGTTTTCCATCCGACACCATCGCCATTTTACCCGCCAAACGGCCTAAAATGTTAATGAGAAAAGTTGCATTTAACGACTCATATAGTCAGTTTTGTGATTTTCTTCATGGCATAATAATGAGTGTTTGTGTAAATATATCCGCAATTTGTATTCATAGCTAAACAACTAATTAAGAGATGTTTTTGGTGAGAACTCTTGGCAAAATAGACTCGAGGGCAATTCTGGAAGACCATAAAGGAAGCATTTAAGCTCTACAAGTAATGTGCCAAAGCGTCTGCCTCTAATGTTTGTCCCTCCCTTTAAAAACTTCCACTCATTCCACATCTCCAACTGTGTCGAGGAATTCGACAATTTTATTTATTTTGTCAACAATTCAATATATGCAAAGTTGATGGATTTCCCCATCTGGTAATGTTAGATAGATGGGAGACGGGATTCTTAGGAAAATTCCTCCGTGCGGGTTTGTTGAACTTTAAAGCTCCTCGGCATGGATTGATGAAAGCTCCATGGAGAAAATTCGAATGGCAATTGAGCTCTCTCTCTCAGGGCTTTTCCTCAATTTAGAGACAGAGAAAGAAGGATCGAATAATAAGAGCTTTAAGTAAGAAAAAAAATCCGTGAGTTTGTTTCAGTGAAAATTGGGATGAATTTCGTCATCATTAGATGACGAAACAAATGATATTCAGAGGAATTCAATCTCCTTTGTTTGCTAGAACCAAGAAAAGCCACGGAATTTCGGATAAAATGCAGTGTTGCATGTGAGGATTTCAATTCAAGGTGCCTGAGAGAATGGGAAGGAACCTAAAAATAAATGAATTCCTCAATTCTTCACACGCAATTTCCAGTCTCAACTCCATCAAATTGATACAATTTTCTTTATTGCATTAGCGGATAGAGGCAAAAATAGCCAAAGACAATTAAAGTCGTGAAAAAATAGCACTGTGAGGAGAGAAAAAAAGATGTTCTCGTCAATTAATACATCACATTCCGCGCCCTCTCACTCCCACTCGCGGGCGTTTTGTACAAAGTGCCTGAGGCAATTATTGAAGGAGAAAAAAAACTAAGATGCAGAAAAATTGCTCGCACTTCTAAGAAACTATGAATATCTTTTTATTCTGCCGTGGAGTAAAATATTAAATAGGCATTTATTGCATTGTATATTTAAGAAGATGAGAGTGAGAGAGAGATGATTCGCTGGAGCATTACAAAATGATACAGGAAGTGTGGAATTTTGCATTCAATTTTTCATCTCACATGGGGATAATTACCCGAATATTTTCACCTCCAATCGCGGATATGTCAATCTTCTGAACCATTCTTGGCTCGCAAAGGGAGGATTCGGAGTGTGTGTGGTTATAAGGCAGCACGATCACTAGATGTGGGCTCACTGAAATCACTTTCAACGTCACTCACTTCTAATGTGTAAACTTCCGGGAAGATTGGCAATATCATTATATTTAGTGCACTTTCTCGGTGACTTCCATGCTCTTCTTAAATTTATACTTCACTATACAAAATAACTGCCTGTTTATCACAGATTCCTCATCGAACGCCCACACTTTCTGTCCTGGAAGGAATGATCGCTCTGACTTTGGGCATTTAGTCGCACTATTGTTGATTGAGGCAAATTAAACAGATAAAATCGCACTATTCACTTGGCGCACTTCAAGAATTCTCGTCGACCTGAAAGCTTTCACAGCTTTAGCTTTGCTCTCGCGAACTGCGAGCACTGAAGCCCAGTAAGATCTCTCGAAGTCTGTTCACCGCACACGAATTAGACTAGAATAGATTATTTTCCCACAATTACACCATTTTTACTGAAACATGAAGAGAGATTAGATGTATAGGAGAGAAATAGAATAGAATCGATTCACTTTTTCTCTCTGTCTTCGCTAAAGAATTTTTCACTTTGGAACACGCGAGATGAGGAAATGCGGCTCTTGAGAATCACGATATTCAGTTTCAATCCAATTTTTTCATCACACGTTGCATTGATTTATTTAAATACTTTAAATGCTTTTAGATTAACTAAATGTGTAACTGTAAGATTAGAATTGAAACCCTAAAGAAGAATTAGAATTATGTTGTTCATTAATATTTGCAACTCTATCACACCCCGAAGCCAATTAGCGAAGAGCTTTTCACCATTTATACGGAGGGAAAAATAAAACTGACTCTCAAATCGCTTTTTCATGTTTTGTTGCAAATGAAAATCGCCCGAGGATTCTATTTTACTTGCATTCACAATAAAGCCTCTGGGCAGAAGCTCTAGTGGGAGTATTTTCAGCCCAAACAGTGCGTGTTTTAATTCCGATTTGATGCCTCAATTGTGATGCAAATGACTGTTGCATTTTTTTCGTTAATAACGACTAAATATGCTTTCAGTTTTGCATCATTTTGCCCTGGAGCGAAAATTCATCAAGAAAAAGCTCTCCTATTCATGAATGTGAAGCAAAGGCAAAGCGGAACTAAGACGCATAATATACTTATTTACAATTTACAATATTCTCCGGCATTCAATGTGATTTCCTCGGAAAGAAATGATATGGAATAGTGCGGAGAAACACTAATTGAATATTGAAATAGACATGAAAATTCAGCCGAAGATGTCAATGGAAAAAAAATCAGGAAGATTGTGAAATTTGCATTGATTTCACGTATTTTATTATTGTTTGATCGCTTGATTGTGCAATTGAGGGTGACGCACTTTGAAGTTCACTTGCTTGATGAAATTTCAATTAATTAAGCATTAATGTGACAATGTTAAATTCAAGTAAATAAAAGTATTTGCTGTACGTGACACTTTTTGCTAAATGCAAACCCAGTGAGACAAATTCCAGTTTTGATATTTCACCATGAATATTCCATGGATTTTTGCTCATTCAATTTTCAAGCCTTTGATTTTCATCTTACATGTGTGATTTTGAGGTCATTTTCGGATGAAAATGTGCTGTAGAAACTTTGGAAATTTCAACACAACGTCGCAGGGAAAATGATGACACAGAATGTTTGTTATTGAACATTCTCTGACAGAGTTTGGAAGCTTGATTAGAATATCTTGTGGTTTCTCGTGTCAAGCTTCAGGCAATCTTGTTTCATTAGAGAGCATACTTTATCGATATATACAAAGTCACGTGAAGCTGTAATATGTTTTTGGCAAAAGAAGAGACAAATCCACTGGGAAAATCCTGATGGTGAATTTTCAAATATGAAATTAACCTATAATCTTGAGTTTAATTGAAAATGTGTGTTTGATATACATTTTCACCCGGACTTTCATTATACAAAACTTACTTCATCGCACCCAGATCACCCTGGAAAATTGCCATAATAGCTGTTTGATAGTTTTCATAGCAAAATAACAGAGAAAACAGTCAAGACAAAGCTTGGAAAGTGGAACGATAATTAGCCCCTTGTGCTGAAGCTATTCCTCCTTACTCGTGAGAAAATCTTGATAAAGTGAATAAGCTTCGGATACAAGTAATTGTCGCATATTGAGTTTCAAAGTTTTGCAAATATCATTTTGGAAATATGTCACATGCAAACCACACGATAAATTCCCCCAATCATGAACTCCTTCTCAGCTTCATCATGATGAGATTTTCACACATGAGAAGGTGAGAAAAGTATCCTTTCTATGGTCAACTTCAAAGGACGCCACAACACTTCCACTCCGAGACCACTTTGAGAGTGTGGAGAACTCGTTAAAAAACCATCACACAATTCGGGATAGCGAGCAAAAAAAAATATGTTTACTTTCAATTCATGAGGCACAAATTGGAGTGAATTCTGTCTGCGTGGAATTTAGCACCGGTGGAGGAAATTTCTCAAGCATTTACCGGGTATACGGAAAAGTTGCGATAAGGAAGAAGGGAAAAAAAGCCACGCAGCGAGTTAAATTGATGTTAAGCGGATAACTAAGCGGAGACGACTGAAGTGCTCAAGACACGACAATTGATATCTAATCCCATTCCCGCTTTTCTGCCTTGTTGTGTGTTTTAACAACGAATTGCCTCTGTCAGTGTATTGTATTGAGGTATTCTCGACGGCCAACCCTCTTGGGTGCCTCACCTGGCCGCCAAACCACCCACAGAAAGACCTCAAAGGCATCAATACTGAAGCGGCTTTTTACTCTCACACTCAAAGTCAATTGGAGAATTTCCTTTTGCCGCCACAACCGCATGACAGCCTGAGCTTTTCGCATAAGCTTCATCCCCTCGAGAGCACTTTCCGCTGCACAAAGCACTCATCCAATTTTCTGTGCTTTTGCTCAGCACAACAACCCAATAATTAACATGCTTCTTAGAGACACACACACAGACAGTGACTTGAATATATTTCTTTCTTCGCCCAACAGGAGCTGCTCAAAAAAAATCCCAAGTGCTTTTCTTACCCGCAAAAGTAGTTACAACACGACGGTTTCGTTCGCCAGCAAACAAAAAAAAAGTAGCTGCCAACACTTGGCCAAACATCAAACTTTCCCACTCTACTTTCACTCTCTTTCTCTGGGCGTTTACATATATTGAGCAGAAAGATCAACTTCTTGAGATTGCCACCAAGAGAGCGTGCCTTGGGAAACATCATGAGAATGAGAATCTAGTCCAATAGCAATTCAATCAATAAAGTTGGCCATTTTTTAGTCTGCAAGCAATTCAAAGCAGTGGAGTTTGCTGCTTAATTCACAAGATGCTTGAAAAAAATATTTGTAATATATTTTAATTCATTTCACTTGGAAACTTTGAGGAAAAGTTGATTTTTTAGAAGTCTTTTGGATAAAATGTGCTCAAAAAGTATGAAAAATCGACTGTGGAATTTAATATTTTCAGTTTATCTACTTATTTTGCGCTTTTTCAGTTAAAAAGTTTAATAAACACCAATAAAATCAAGTGAAAAATTTAGAAAACAATTTTTACAGAGCAATATTAGTAGTTTAACGAACGATTGAAGATATTTTGAGGCAAATTTGGCCTTTTGTAAGGGAAATTGTAGTCAAAAATCAAACCCTAAACATCTGCGGTATCAAACAACAATATATCTACACTTATAATGTAATTACAAAATTTAATTGTGGTTGCGAATGGCAGTGAAATCCACTCACACATGTGGGTGAGGAAGTTAATTTGTGAAATCGCATGAATAGAATAGCAAAATGTGGATTAATTAATTAATCCGATATGCCATTGAGAAAGTCACGTGCTCAATAATTTCAATAGCAATAAAAGTTTCCACTACAACTCCACACCCACCCCATCTCCACCTCCTCCATTAGTGTGATTGACAATGAAGCCCCGCAGAATTGCTCCCCCGGGCGACAGGAGGGTCGCAATGTATCAATCACAAATTTTAATTAACATCAAACAATAACCGTGTCAATTTATACCCATAGTTGAACTCATTTGAGCCTAGCATAATGGATTTTCGGTAAACTGGCGGTTAATTATTTTAGTGTGACTTTCAGTCATGCCGCTATCATCATCATAATCATCGTGCTGTAACAGCCCCAGAGACAGAACCAGAGACATTGTGCAGAGGGCTGGGCAACATAGGCGATTTCCGCCCTGCACAAGTCAAGCGTTGCGGAGATGCTTGAATTAATGCGGAAGTGGAGCTCATTCGTGCGTGCCGCAAAGTGCGAGGGCGGTTATGGGGCTGGTGAGGGATGTTTTCACATGCGACTCGAACAGGTGTCTGACATAAACCACCACCCACGGGACAGGCGAGTCTCGCGGCGCACAAACAATCACTTGTGTATTCGGAATTGATGATGGAGTCACCATTATATATCCCCACTATTTGCTGAATTGATCAAGTGTTGGTTAAATGCGTCGTTTATGCCATCAAGTGGCGTATGTTATTTAGCAATTCTCCTTGCACACTCAAAGATATTGAATATTGCATCAAGGAGTCAAGTAAATCCAAAGTCTGGTGCTTTAAAGTTAAGTTTGATAGAATCTCATGTCGCTGTGCAAGTCTTGCTGAAGAATTTGTTCATTCTGTCCACTTTTTGTGAACGGACATTTTTACGAGTGGGCAGTTTGCGTGAAAATTTATCGATTTGCCTCCCGGACTGTCCTCTCCACCACACTGCTGTTGGCCAATAAATTTGATCTTGCACACGAAATTGAAATGAACTTAACCTTCAACTTGTGTTACCCTTGAAAGGTAAATATTTGACTCATCAAGATATAGTGGCACTTTTCCCACAACGTGCGGGCGCTTTGGCATTCACGTGGCGGGAAAAGTGCCCCTGAGAGTGTGTACGATGGCGATGATTTACCTTATTTTGCGCCTCATCGTCGTTGGGAATCTCCAGTCCGGCGCGAATGTCCTGCATGGAGAGTGTGGCGTCTGGACCCATGACATCTGCCAGCTCGAAGCGCCGAGTGCAATTGGCGAGGGTGGCATTGGTGAACTGGGACGAGGGGACTGTGGAGGAGATGTTGGTGGCACCATGGAAATTGCTCTGGACGTCTGCAAATGACGTCGTGCTGTACAGTGGTCCATTTATGGCTCGTATTCGATGGGGATTCTGATACAGTGCACTCGGATATCTGCAACAGTGACGACACGATGTGTCATTGCACACGAAAACAGGCCAGCAAATTGGTAAATTTCAATGCTAAATGGGAATTAGCTTGTGTTTCACTCCAGAGAAAGAGACACAGAGCATTTATTAAGAGGAGTATGCTTTGTGAAATTGGATATATATACACCGAAAAGACACCCTCTCGAGAGATCCCATAACACGAAATGAATATAATCTCATTTCTGTAAAGTCAATTGCTAGTTATAAAAAATCTCATGGGTTATTCCTATCCATGCTTCTCCATTTCTTCCACAATAATTAGATTTCTTGCAATTTTCTTTCAATTTCCCATGCAATTTATGAAGACTTTCTTTCAAATTGCTCCCCATATTCTCCCCAGGGTTCAAAGCTCAGTAAATTGAATTAATTGGAATGTACTGAAAACTTTGAAAATGCTCCAAGATAAAGAAATGTGGATTCATTAAGCCAGATGACAATATTTAAATGAAAGTTATCTGTCTGTGGTATTTCTATTTAAAGCATGAATTTTACAAGAAAGAAAGTTCCTTCCAAGAGAGATTAAATTGAATTTCTACTCTTGCAACTGTTTCTACGCAAGTTCCTATCAAAATACCTCAAAACTTCCGAACATTGCAGAGTGAGCAATCAACCATAGCCCAGGAACCGTCAAACAAATAATCAAAATCATCTTGATATTCACCAGGGAAACTCACACACACGAGAGAGTTACCCATGAACCCTTAAATTGATTATTTGCATTCCCGTGGGAACAGTAATATTTCATCTCGACCTTTCTCGCTCAGGTGCTTTTTCCTGAGTGAAAATTTCAATTGCAACGCTCACGTAATCTGAGCGGAAATACCCAGGATTTATATATAATTTATCTTAAGGGATGCAATTTATAGAGCCCCATTCTCACCTGTAACTGTATCTGGAGAAGTCGTAATCGCTGGTCTCATTAGTTCGGCGGGCGTTGATCATGGAAATTGCTCGGTCTCCACGAGCCGCTGCCATCATATACGTCCACATTGCGTTTCATGGCACAGGCCAGCTCCCGCGGTGTTAATTGAAGAAACACCTCGCGGGAGGGACTCTCGATCTAATCTATATATAGAGTGTCAACTTCACAAACTGCAAGTCTTTCGCGTGCTTCAATTGAATTCACTTAGACTGGTGTGAATTTACAGCTGAGATCCATGCCTGTTGCCGAGGGAGAAAAAGTCATTAACATATATACAGCTCAAGGCTTCCCCATATGATTATTTGTGTGGATAAATCCGCCCTCGGGCACTACAAGATGCCCATCGAGGGCGCTCAATTAAATAGGGGCGTTGGTGATGTGTGTGAGAGAGAGTGAAAGGTCATTTAATGGAATTGTGCCATTGATTGTGATTCAATTTGGCTGAATTATCACCAGGCGGCCCCATCAATTAGTGAATAGGTCTCTGTCCTCAAATTACACCCAATAAAAATTCAGCAGGGAACCCAATTTACTTAATTAATTTGCAACTTGCAACTTTCTCGCTCTTCCCGTGCGCCAAGAAGCAACACCACATGAATCGCTTAAGAGCGTTGAAAATGCGGGGAGTGTGCGATGTTTGTGAGGAGAAATTACATAAAAACACCATAAATCACTGAATGCCCTCAAGTGCCTTTATCTTCAAAAATTCCTACGTGCTCTGAAAGGTAGAAGAGATTTTTTTTTCGTCTGGAGTATATCCATTTCAAAGAGAATAAACGTGCTAAACATTTCCTCGTCTTCGAGCGCAAAAGAATTCAAATTTTGGCCTCACGACTCCTCAGCATCATGCGATATCTGTGCCAAATAAGCTTCCTTTATCTGCTCTTTTTCCCCTTCCTTTTTCCTTAACACTCGAGGGAATTTTTATTACAAAAAATTTGTCACTTCAATCGATTTCAATTACTTAAATGACTCAAACACACACTGCAATTTATCACGGGCGAACTCTTCAATGCAAATAAGAAGATTAATTAGCAAAGAAGACACAATTTAATCTCCAATGAAGGGCGTTCAATCGTTTTCTCAAGAGCAAAATGGGTCAAACATTGTGAAAATAGCAATTTCTCCACTGTTTAATGTGTCGAGATATCATCTCAACATGATGACATTGTATAATTTTGTTGTCATCAATGCAAAAGACGCCGGAGCATCAATTTTTCATGCAATTTTCCCACCAATGATGCATGATTTTTCCAGCAGGAAAAATCACACGTTAAATGTACATTTTGTAGCATCTTGTGAAATTTTTATTGAGAATTGCACTCAACTGAAAAGTGACTGAAAACTACATTCATTATTAATCACCCTTTCCATCAGCCTCAGTCTTTATTTAGACAGTGTGCAGAGTTTGTGGAGTTTCCCTCGAACACGATTCACTTAAAACCATCCCCGGAAAATCCCCACAAAGACCATTAAGTGACAGATTATTGTGTAGCGCAGACGACGTGAGTTCGAGGCACAAAATAGCAAATCAATTTTTCACACACATAACAAAATCCTCCTATAAAAGAATTTCCTCGTTAGGCAACTCCCGCAGAAGTACGTGATTGTTTTCCGTGCTTGAAGGCAGCAAAACGGATTTTCTCTGGGCAAGAAGCATCATGACTTCAGAAGCTCAAGTTCACAGTGACCAAATAGTCGAATCATTGCGGAGTTTCATAGAAATTTCGCTCTTGAAGCGAATTCCTTTGCTCAAGTGGACACCATCATTTCCTGGACAACACTACATTTTGTGCATTAATCTATTCATAAGTTTCCTCTGTTCATTCTTCTATTTGATAACATTGAGAGATTTTGACGACATCCTTGAAACAGCTCTTCTGCTCGTGATGTTTCTCATGCAGTATCAGGCTCTATTCATTTATTTAATCCTCATTTACTTGTACAGAGATGATTTTATGGAAATGCTGGATTATTTTAGCCACTTAGTGAGAGCAAAAGAGGAGCTTTTGCTGGAGTATCGCGAAGAAATTATGTCGCATTATCTCAAAATTGTGAAATATGTTGGAAAGTGAGTGAAAAAGTACTTAACGAATAATCAAGGGGGAGATAATACAGCCAGAAGTGGTGTACAACTAAGAAGAAGTACTTAAGAAATGGAAGTGTTGAGAAACTTGCAATATTCCTTTCCTGAGTGCTTCTTTTGCTGACAAATTCTTCTGATTCTTTGAATTTCCTTCAATTTCACGCGGGAATCAACGTAATAATTTTTTTCTAGGTTATGTAACGAATCAAGGACATATTTAATGAATAATTCGTATTTTAGAACATTAATTCTGCCGGTCCTTGGCAGAATAAAACAATTACAAGAAATTAACATTGCTTTTTTGATCCTTTGACGCCAAGAAACACTGGAAATTGTGATAAAATCACACATAACCTCAAAAATATTGATTTGAGCTTGAAAATCTTTTATTCAGAAAGCGTTTTGGATGATTTTGACTGTATATCAGCAATTTTGTGACCAAGCAAACTTCCAAACGGTGTCTTTGAAAATCTCTAGGCGATATTTTGAGGTTATAATAAGAAAAGATACCAAAAAAACGGTTTTGAACGGATTTTCACAGAAATATCTAATGGAAACTTAAGAAATTTCAATTAAACAGTCAAAAACTTCAAGTATTGAAAAGGTTGTACAAATTTAAGGTGTATTATCTTCCCCTTGAGAATAATTACAAATGTCCACACAATTATTAATGTTCTCTTTCCTTTTTCACCACCAGTTTCTTCCTCTTCAGCGTGAGAATTGTTGCAATCAGTTTGGGGTTATTTAATTTTTGCAAATCCGATTACACCGGATTCCTTTTGTATCGCATACCTTTCATCCCGGAAGACTGCTTCCTATTCAAACCAACCAATCTTGTAGTCCAGTTCTTTGCCTTCATTGTCGGCGCGGACACATGCCTCAACATAATCAGATTACTTGTTCTGTGCTCAGGATATTTCATATCAGAATTTTCGGTTTTGACAAAACTCGTGCTGAAACTCGTAGACGATGTAAATGTGAGCAAGTGTGATGTTATTCTTCGCGTTATGTGTTGTAATCATGTGGCCGTTCTGAAGAATCTCAAAGTAATGCGGAATATTTACTGGCACATTTCCTTTCACATCTTCTTCTCATCCACCGTGTATTTGTGCCTTCTGATCTACACAAGTCAGTCAAACAGCGTCTCAACAATCATCTACATGTGTCTTATCAGTGCACTTGCCCAGATATTTCTCCTCAGCTTTGTCGGCCAAATCATTCAGAATCACTCTGAGGCGTTTTATGACACTTTAATTGCCACAAAATGGTATGAAATGTATGTCGTGGACCAGAAGAAACTCCTTCTGATACTGGTGATGGCTCAACAACCGGCAGTCTTGACATCATTTGCGTTCGGCAATGTTTCCATACAGACTTTTCTCCTTGTAATTTCACACGAGTTAGCGAATATTTTGCATTTTAATCCTTTTATTCTACCATTGTAGATCCTTAAAACATCCATCTCATACGCTGCAATATTGTACACGCTCGTTAACTGAAGCATCAGGAGACAATTACTGTCGCTGCTTTCGGAAGTTCAACATAAAATCGTCACCACAAAAACCATGCAAATATTTCACGACATTCGCAAAAGAGTAAATACCAGACATTGTCTATTGGATGTTAGCAAATAAAATAAACTGCTGTAAAATGCTCAAATGCACTGAAGCTTGGAGAATTAAATGCAACTTTATTTCGATTCAACACCGCAGATTTCTGTTTAATTTCTCTTGTAGCAATTGCGATATTCCTCTAACCATAAAAAAAAGACTTGAAAACTTTCCTCGCAAATTAAGATCTCGCCGAAGGCTTCCCATAAATCTTTCATCTTGTTACCACACAGCGCCTCCGAAAAGTACAGCCCAAGATTTGTGAGTGATAATTCAAATTGGGGTATCGCGTGAACTCAAATCCCTTGGGAATTACACAACTTGTCTTTTTTAGCGCCCAGCAAAGAAGATGCTCAACACCATCTTATTGCCACAAAGTTCACCCAACATCGCCAAATTTCCATGAGATTTATTATTCTAAGCACTGCAGAAAATTCCGCGAATAATTAAGCAAATACCCAACATTTTCCCAACCCACGAGAAGAGCGCGCCAAAATGTTGAAAATTTTTGGAAGAAAAAGTGTATTATCTTGGCAATTTGCCGCCTATCTTGCTGGCTCAGGGCGCAAAATGCAGACATAACAGTGGAAAAATGACGACGAGGGCGGAAACTGAAATTGTCTGCAAATTGTCAGTGCATGAAGGTGCAAAGTGGATGTAATTCAGGCTACTACTTTGCACCCCAATCTCCCACATTTATCGCCATCCTATCCTGGTGACACTGGCGAGGCTGAATGACGGAAATTGGAATGTTGCGTCCGAGAGGATAAATACATAGCGCATGTATCGTGATTTATGGGTGAGGGGAGAATGTGATTTGGTGTGAGGATATTTTCTTATTAAGCGACGAGGCAAAGGAAAAATAATAACTGGGAGATGCTAAGCTGAGCAGCGAGAAGATGGAAAAGTCATTTAAGCTCATCTACATGATGACGACGACAGTGTAAGAGGAAAAATCAATAGGAGTTTATGTGTCTTATTCGTTAATATATATCACAGCACAAGCCATGTCTGGTGAACACGACATAGTTTGTAGTTGCTGTGATTAATAAACCCAATGAATGGAGAGAAAAAGCTTCTTTTTGGGTTTATTTTAAACGTTTTACAGCCAAGAATAACAGCATGTTTGAGAAATGTTCCTTATTTCTCGAGCATTCTTTGAGTGCAAATCGTGACTCTCTTTCGCCACAATTTCTTCACAATCACTACATCTGTGACAACATGTGAGACATTCTCAGAAGCTCACCAACCAACCACCTACATAAAGACACACGATATTCCCTTGGCAATATTTCCCTCCCCTGTTCGATGCGACCAAAGATTATCGTGGATGGTTTGTGATGCTGTTTTGAGCTTTTATTACATACAAAAT